GAATCTTCACCGTCACCACCTTATTCTTACCGTCGACGTTTGCCGTCACCATCACCTTCATCCCGTCGATTCTTCACCGTCACCACCTTCTTCTTGCCGTCGACGTTTTTCCGTCACCATCACCTTCTCCACGTCGAATCTTCACCGTCACCACCCTCTTCTTGCCGTCGACGTTTTGCCGTCACCATCACCTTCTCCACGTCGAATCTTCACCGTAACCATCTTCTTCTTACCGTCGACGTTTTGCCGTCACCATCACCTTCATCCCGTCGAATCTTCACCGTCATCACCTTCTTCTTGCCGTCGACGTTTTGCCGTCGCCATCACCTTCTCCACGTCGAATCTTCACCGTAACCACCACCTTCTTGCCGTCGACGTTTTGCCGTCACCATCACCTTCTCCACGTCGAATCTTCACCGTCACCACCTTCTTCTTACCGTCGACGTTTTGCCGTCGCCATCACCTTCATCCCGTCCAATCTTCACCGTCACCACCTTCTTCTTGCCGTCGACGTTTTGCCGTCACCATCACCTTCTCCACGTCGAATCTTCACCGTCACCACCTTCTTCTTACCGTCGACGTTTTGCCGTCGCCATCACCTTCATCCCGTCGAATCTTCACCGTCACCACCTTCTTCTTACCGTCGACGTTTTGCCGTCGCCATCACCTTCATCCCGTCGAATCTTCACCGTCACCACCTTCTTCTTGCCGTCGACGTTTTGCCGTCGCCATCACCTTCATCCCGTCGAATCTTCACCGTCATCACCTTCTTCTTGCCGTCGACGTTTTGCCGTCACCATCACCTTCTCCACGTCGAATCTTCACCGTCACCACCTTCTTCTTACCGTCGACGTTTTGCCGTCGCCATCACCTTCATCCCGTCGAATCTTCACCGTCACCACCTTCTTCTTGCCGTCGACGTTTTGCCGTCGCCATCACCTTCATCCCGTCGAATCTTCACCGTCACCACCTTCTTCTTGCCGTCGACGTTTTGCCGTCGCCATCACCATCTCCACGTCGAATCTTCACCGTCACCACCTTCTTCTTACCGTCGACGTTTTGCCGTCACCATCACCTTCATCCCGTCGAATCTTCACCGTCACCATCTTCTTCTTGCCGTCGACGTTTTGCCGTCACCATCACCTTCATCCCGCTGAATCTTCACCGTCACCACCTTCTTCTTGCCGTCGACGTTTTGCCGTCACCATCACCTTCTCCACGTCGAATCTTCACCGTCACCACCTTCTTCTTGCCGTCGACGTTTTGCCGTCGCCATCACCTTCTGTGTAATCTGCACGGGGGTACCTGGCGCAATGCGGTTCGGGGGTTTGCATGGAACGATGCTATTTGGGGGGTTAACTGGCATAATGCAGTTCGGGGGTTTGCATGGACCGATGCTATTTGGGGGGTTATCTGGCATAATTTGTTCGGGGGGTTTGCATGGACCGTATGCTAATTGGGGGGTGCCTGCCATAATGTGGTTCGGTGGGTTTGCATGGACCGATGCTATTTGGGGGGTTGCCTGGCATAATGCTGTTCGGGGGTTTGCATGGACCGATGCTATTTGGGGGGTTATCTGGCATAATTTGTTTCGGGGGGGTTGCCTGGACCTATGCTAATTGGAGGGTGACCTGACATAATGTCGTTCGGTGGGTTTGCATGGACCGATGCTATCTGGGGGGTTAACTGGCGCAATGTGGTTTGGTGGGTTTGCATGGACCGATGCTATTTGGGGGGTTAACTGGCATAATGCAGTTCGGGGGGTTGCATGGACCGTTGCTATTTGACCTGATGCGATTCGGGGTTTGGAATGGACCGATTTTATTTTAGCGGTTGCCTGGCGTGAAGCTTTGCACGAGGCTGCGACGTACGTGAGGCGCCTTAGCGCAGTATTGTGCACGGTAAGTCTGGGCCGCAAGCTTGGGGGGTAAACTGCCGTTCGCGCCCAAATCCATCCGTTAGTCGTTGGAATTGGCATATTTAACCGTTTCATCTGTTCTTATGCAGGGTCTCCACTTCCTCAGGCTTTCTGTTTGAAAGCTGCACGAGTGCGCGGCCTCAGCTCTAACGAGGCTGCGACGTACGTGAGGCGCCTTAGCACAGTATTGTGCACGGTAAGTCTGGGCCGCAAGCTTGGGGGGTAAACTGCCGTTCGCGCCCAAATCCATCCGTTAGTCGTTGGAATTGGCATATTTAACCGTTTTATCTGTTCTTATGCAGGGTCTCCACTTCCTCAGGCTTTCTGTTTGAAAGCTGCACGAGTGCGCGGCCTCAGCTCTAACGAGGCTGCGACGTACGTGAGGCGCCTTAGCACAGTATTGTGCACGGTAAGTCTGGGCCGCAAGCTTGGGGGGTAAACTGCCGTTCGCGCTCAAATGCATCCGTTAGTCGTTGGAATTGGCATATTTAACCGTTTCATCTGTTCTTATGCAGGGTCTCCACTTCCGCAGGCTTTCTGTTTAAAAGCTGCACGAGTGCGCGGCCTCAGCTCTAACGAGGCTGCGACGTACGTGAGGCGCCTTAGCACAGTATTGTGCACGGTAAGTCTGGGCCGCAAGCTTGGGGGGTAAACTGCCGTTCGCGCTCAAATGCATCCGTTAGTCGTTGGAATTGGCATATTTAACCGGTTCATCTGTACATATGCAGGGTCTCCAGTCCGCATTGTGGAGCCCGCGCGAATAGCCAAGCTGTGTTTGTCAGCGGCACAAGAGGACGCTTCATTATGGCAGGCTTGCCAACTGTTTGCTTTTGCCATGTATTTGGGTTTTGCGTCTCACATGGCGATTGGCCATGTGAACGATACCCGCTTATTTATCGGATAGGTTCATGACTTGATTGAGGAGGCGGGGACTTCCTGCAGAGCATTTGCACAATGGGTCATATCGCGGGTAGGGAGGACTTTCGTTTGTGTGTGTGTGAGCAGCGCCCTGGCAAGTGGCAAGTTTGCTTGGCTTATGCAGACTTTGTCATTAGTGCAACTCATGCATCAGGATGCTGCTGTCTTTGCTGCTCTAATTGCCGAGCCTCGTCAATCTTGTAACACAAGGACGAATTTCTGCACTCATCCCTTCGACTCGCACACTTTGCACTTCCGAATTCGAGCAGCTTCAGTGTTTGACTGGTCCGCGCTTCACTTGGGATCCGTTTGTCCCTTCTCTCTGATCAGCTATGTGCCCCAAATTTAGTTCGACTCTGCACAGCTTTCTGCCTACCAGCTGTGCCTAACATTACGTTTTCATTCATCCGCCTCCTGCTCGTGCTAGTGAGAGTATCTGTTGCACTGCACTTGAACTGCAAGAGCATCGCACCGCATTCAACATCAGGTGGTTTTCATACGTACCACGCTGTTCGATGTTGTTGCTGCGATAAGGAAGCGACGCTCTGCTGGGTAAC